CATTTTTCTTTTCCTGGTCATTAATTGCAATCTTATCTTCTATATCTGAAATTCTGTCCTCACATTGGCTCATTCTGCTGTGTAGACTTTCGATGGAGTTTTTAATCTCCTGGAAATCTGTTTTCATCTGTTTTATGGATTTCATTTGTTTTCTATGTTGAGATTCCATCATGTTCCTCAGATTCTCTATTTTTTTTAATCTGTGTTGTCTCTAGATTAATCATGTCTTGCACCATGAGCACAATCTTTGCTGTTATCTGAGTAATTATTTCTGATTTCATTTTTCCCAGATCCAATTTTTTTTTTTCCCAGTTCAGAGAGTCCAGGCGGTTGAGTATCAGATTGTTCCATCTCATTTCCCTTTGGGGTTGCTGTAGATGATCTGGAAGTCTGTTTTTGAGGTTTGTTTACGTGTCTCTTCATTTCCACGGGGGTGAGGGTGCTTCTGGCACCCGTGCAGCTCACCTCTTCTGCCCTAGGAGCTTCCTTCTGGGTGCTGGGACCCGCTCAGCTTCTCCGCCCTAGGAGCATGGGGTGGCACCTGGGGAGCTTCCTTCCAGATGCTCCTACTGCTGTCTTTTAAAGTGAATTTTTTTAAAAAAGCAAGAAATAAATGTTAAAAACAATCTGACAATCTCTGCCTGACTCCAAATTATATTACTAGGTCACCTAAAGTTGTTTCACAGCTCTTTTTTGTTTCATTTGATAGTTTTTATTGTTCACTTTCAAGGTCACTAATCTTTTATCAAACCTCCAATCTGCCACTAATTTCATCTAATTATTTGTTCCATGTGCTTACCTTTGAGTGTGTATGCTGCTGGAGATTGGACCTGGGGCCTTGTGCAGGCCAGACAAGTGCTTACCACTGAACTACACCCCTCAGCCTATACCTTTGGGAACATATAATATTTAATGCCTTTGTTCACTAATTCTAACAGCTAGGTCAATTCTGAGTCAGTTTTGATTCTCGTTATGAGTCCTATTTTCCTGCTTCTTTGGATGCCTAGTAATTTTTGTATGAATGTTGGATGTAGGATATTCTAAGTCACCCATCCAATGCCCCATCAATTCTGAGGTTGTCACTTTTCCATCTAAATGCTTTACAATGGTTCTTTCACTGGCCTTGGGTTGTTTCCTCACCTAAATGTGATGATCAGTACATTGCTGAATTCTCACATCAGACCCTCTGCTAGCCTCCAGGGTTCTCTCTCTGTAGCATTCTCCTTTCTGGTACACACTACCCTGCTGGCTCTAGGTGCCTTGGTTTGTATCAGGCTCTTGGCTCAATCTCTTCACATCGGGAGACTTACTTTTTGGTTTGGTTCCCGCTCCCTGCATCGCAGCTTAGGAACTGTCTCAGGAAAGTAAGTTGGGGAAGTTTTAGAGCTCACAGTCCCTTGGGATCACTGTGCTGTGTTTTCTGATGTATGAATGTCATTCTGTATTTTGTCTACTTTAATTGCTTCAGGCTGGAGGATTAATCCAATTTTTGTTACTGTATATTGTCTGAAAGTGGAGTTCAAGGGAGTCTTTCTTTAAATTGTAAAGTTATCCAGTCATACTTACATCCTTTCTGAAGCCCTAGAGAACTTGTTGTGGTCAATTTAATCAGAAGCCTCTATGCAAAGTTACAAAACTTGGATTTCTGATCGAGATTAACATTTGGAGCTACAGGATTTTCCACAAAGGCAGGGAAATGCTCGTTTTAAAGAAAAATTTAAGACTAGATGTGTTAACCCATTCTTCACATCTCCTTCTGGGCTTGTTTTCTCTTGTGGGCTCTTATCTTGCAAGTGTTTTTCTCTTATCCACCATTCTCAATGTTCATCATTCTCTCTCATACTTCCTTGTCTTTCAATTCATTATATTGGGACACATTGCATTTTACTCCTAGAATTACTGCTGTGTCCCTGAAACACTGGTTAAGTCACTTCAACACCTTTTAACAGAATGAGGGTTTAACAAAAGAGGTGTGTGTGGTGGCTTAAGGACTGTCATGTGCCACACTGGGGCTCGCTGAGGGAGGAAGGAGTTTCCAAGGAAGAGGAAGCATGGCTGCTTTACAATTTTACAATGTTATCCTCTTAAGTACAGATCATGTTTTGGGCTCCAAAGGAAGAGTGGTTGGGCCCCTTCCAACTGGATATTATTATTACAAAGAAGGTCTCTTATATGGGTGTATGTTCAATCAGCCTGGCATCTTTGAATTTAAACACTAAGAATGTTCTGAATATTTAGCCCAGTCCCATTAATAGCTATTTTCACAGAGACCTGACTCAGTTTGCTTCAGATGGGCTCAGAATAAACAGGTTTTGCTTGGATTTCCACAGACAACTTCTTCAGTCTTTAAAGAGGAGTGGTGTGGAGTGGGGTTGTTACTCCTTTAAATGTAGGCAGGAAAAGAACTTTTAAGCTGGTAGGCATCCTCATCTGAAACATGAGAGCACCACTGCCCACATAAAATTAGTGTGATTAAATGAGAGGCTACAGGTAAGACATTTAGTATAATGCCTGGTACATAGGAAGCGCACCGTTATTTTCAATTACTATCGTTATTCATGACTCAACTACTTACTGAGTGCTTACTATGAGTGAAGTCTTTGACTCATTTCTGAGATTTGCTAGGAGGTCATGCTGAGCCTGGTGGGTGTATGTGCATTTCCTTTTATTGGAAAGAGCAAAAAACCAATGATTTCATGGAGGGTTTACTCCAATGGTGGCGAACCTACTGCACGCATGCCACGATTGGCTGTTATTATTGAAAGCTCTAAAAGAGTTCACCATCACTGGTTTGCTCCATCTCTTAAAGCTATCATTCCTGAACTACAGTCTGGAGCAAAAGTTGGCAAACTTTTCCCATGAATCGCCAGATGGTAAATATCTTAGGCTTTGTGGGCATATGTTTTCTTTCACAGCCACTCAAAGCTGAAAATAGTCATGTACAAGACAAAAACAAGTGGGCATGGCTCTCCAGTAGCTCCAGGTGCTTGCCAAGCCTTGATCTAGAGGGAAGACAGGTATTCCAAGCGACCATTACTGTATGGTATGATAAGGGTTATGGCTGAGGCAGCAGGGAATGACCTAGTTTCTTACACTCAAGGGTGATCCCTCAGGCCAGCATGGACAGCATCAGGAAGCTTGTTAGAAATGCAGCATCTTATTTCCACCTAGAACAGTGGGATCAGAGCCTATATTTAACAAGGTTACAGTGAAGGGTATGGTAAAGGGAAACTTGATGGAAGGAAGAATGTCCCCAAGTGAAAGCTAGGGAGAGGTTCAAGATTTTGAGGTCACATATGGGCCAGGCACATCTTTCAGGCTGAAAGAGCAACAAAAATTGAAGAAGCCTGACAGTGACAAAGAATATCTGAAGAACTAAAGAAATTGAGGGAGTTATTGACTAGCGTAGGTTAGAAGAAACTTCAGCAATATGACAGTCAAATGCAGTGGATTGACTGTTTAGATCCTATTTTGAAGAAACCAATTATATAAAAGACATTTTTGAGACAATTGAAAATTTGAACATAGAGTGGGTGTCAATGCCACTGGTTGTAATACTCTTGGTATATATATACATACACACATATATGAGACAATGTCTGTATTCATTCAAAATACATATAGGAGGATTTAGGAGTGAAATGATATAGTAATAGGAATTTGCTTGAAATACTGATGAAAATGGAAGACCAACAAAAGAATAGATGAAGCAAGTGGAGCAGAAAATAATATTGCATCAGGAGATTTATTTGGCCGGTTATACTGTTCTAACTTCTTTTACACACTTTGGAAAACTTTCATAAAGCTAAAGGATTTGGGATTGCATCAAATCTCTCCTGTCTCACTTTATGTGAAGTTTGGGTCATGATTAAACCGAGCTGTGCACAAAGCAATATTTTCCTCCTTTGAAGCCAATTCAGAAGCACTTGATGTAAGGTCACCTTGAGCTTGATGGATCTATGTGTTGTGTTTCCTTTTGTTGCAAAGGGTAGGAAAAACAATAGCTTTCTGGAGGCTTTACTTTATATTTCAAAGTAGATTTGTCAGAGCCTGGGGCTGGAGAGGCCTCTGCTCAGCCACAGCTGAGACCCTCACCCAGAGACCCTGGCAATGGAGCAGCCAAGCCTTCTGTAAAGGAGCCAGAACGTGTACCTTTGTGTGCCCCAGGCTGGGGTCAGGTGTGCACATAGTGGCCTTTGGTGGTGAGGGCTATGGAGATTTTAGTGAGGAATCTCTTGGAAGATTAAGGAAATGAGGACCATGAAAAGGAGACTGCTCTGGACACACTTGTCATCTGTGTCCTTCAGAAAGCTAACTAGGTCTCCTTTAATATCTGAAAAGTTATTCAACCTATTCAGTTGGTTTGCAACAAGGATTTAATATGAAAATGTACAGCCTTGGGCCAGGGATTTAGCTCAGTGGTTCCAGCGCCTGCCTCACAAGCACAAGGTCCCAAGTTTGATCCCCAGTACCAAAAAAAAATGTACAGCCTTGATCTCACTGGTACTTGGAAGGAGTGATAAGTAAAAGTTGCATTTATTTTTTCTGAATTGAATTTCCTTGTACTCTCCCTTATTTTGGTGGCTTGTTTATCTTTCCTCTGCCCTTCACATGTGTTGGTGCTGAATTAGGACTGCCAACAGGTGGACCCCAAAGTTTATAATTCTAATGTCCTGCCTTCATCTCTAATGCTGACAGTGCCTCCTTAATGCATCCCTTTTAATAGGACTCTTTCTTCTTCCTGTCTGGAAGGCTGATATAATTTTGAGAGGTGCAGCAACCATCTTGCCACCATGAATATTAGCCTACGACTTAAGGGTATTAAAGAAAAAAGAAGTCAGACTTGGTGTTGGGATGCCTATAATCCCAGCTACCTAGGAGGCTGAGACAGGAGGACCCAAAGTTTGAGGCTAACCTGGGCAACTTAGTGAGACTGTCTCGAGATAAAAACAAAAAAGAATGTAGCCCAGCACTCCCTGGGTTCAATCCCCAGTACTTTTTAAGTAGAAAGATGAGACTGAGTCCTCAATTGCAGTGTGGGATTGTACCAGAGCTGGACTATCCACTGAATCTCACTTTTAAAGAACACTTGAGAATTTAAAACTCCATTTGTCTCTAAAATAAGAAAAAATAGGTGTAGGTGAGGAAGCGTAGCAAAATACTGACAAATAATGAACAAATACATAGGCTTATATAGTTTCATTTCTCTGTATGTAAATATTTTTGTTAAAAGTAATTTGACTTGAACAAATTTCCAATCTTGATTATGATGTGAAGCTCCCAATTAAGCTCATCCAAACACAGAACATTAGTTTCCTGTTGGCAGTGTGCAGACCTGCCTCCATATTCCTGCTGTGCTTCTGCACCCCCTGGGCCCCTGCCACTTCATGTGCCTGGAGGTTGAGCATCCACAGTGTCAGAGTCCCCTCCTCTGCAAGTTTTTAGGGAAAGATCAGTTTCTTGATTTTAAATGATGTCTGATACATGGATATCCACTAACTGTTCCAAAATTCTTAATGCCTTCTTCTCCAAAGCCACATGGACGTGTGGAGAGATACAAGAGACATTAAAAACTC